TGAGATTTAAGTATGCATATGATTGAGTATTATCGGCTTTATTCTTGATATTTTTATTCTTTTTTTTTTTACTGTTGTTTGCGTCATCATCATTCTCACCACTACCACCACAACTAAATAATACATCAGGAACTAATGGTTGTGGATTAGCATTATAGTCGGTCCCTAGCAGACAATTAAAAAAATGCGCAACACAATATGATGTGTATGTGATTGGTAGTTCTCGAAGAAGTTCACGAAGTATACGTTTTGATGCTCTGATAATCATCTCATGAATAACCAAATGCTATAAAAAGATATGTGTGTATGTGTGTGTATGTGTGTATAATAGGAATTTTTAGACGTCAAGATGATTCTTCCGTTGTTTATGGATATTTTGATAATGGAAGAGATAAACCTAAACTTTGTGCTGATCCTGAGTTCCATGAGATTGTTGGTAAAGCAGCAAAAGTTTTACATCTTGCTGAACACAGGTTAGTTAATTTGTATAATTATCTCATAAAAATTTTCCTTGATGTCAATCTACTTTATACGATTTTAATTTATAAAGTTTATATGTATTTGCTTTGTTTGAAGTGTTTCCGATTCAAAAGGAAATTCCGTAAAACTTCATACTTCTTTAGAAACTAAGGTTTTTTCATAACGTTTATAGATATTTAAACATTTAATATGCGTGTATATATATATATATATTGGTTAAAATGTAATTAAATCATATCATCAACTTTTTTGAAAATTATATGTATATATATATATATATATGGTAGGGATTAATGGGTGATGATGGTAGACGATATTTATTTGATTTGTATCGTCTTAATCCTGTTGATATTGAATTTTTAGAGAAAGAATGTGAACCTAAAGAAGAAAGTGACCTTCCACTTTATTCTCACAAATTAACTTTATTAAGACCAGAATTGATTGAATCTTTTTGGGATTATAAATTTAGATTGTGGCTTCAGGAAAAGGCTAATCGAAAACAGAATGTATATTAATTTTTTAAAAAGTTAATGCTATTTTTTTTTTTAAATCAAGTTATTAAACAATAGTATCGTTATCATTATTGTTGTTGATAGGAGGAAACCAAAGATTCTAAACCTGAAGATTCTAAACCTGAAGATTCTAAACCTGAAGATTCTAAACCTGAAAATTCTAAACCTGAAAATTCTAAACCTGAAGATTCTAAACCTGAAGATTCTAAACCTGAAGATTCTAAACCTGAAGATTCTAAACCTCAAGAAGTAACTCCCGATGAAGAATTTAATTTTACATTAAATCCAGCTTCTTTTACTGATTAGAAAATACCAG